GTGAGTTGGGTGTTGGTGGTCGTTTGGGATCCCTCCCCAACATTATCTGACCTTCCCCGACCATCAACTGAATGCAACATTAACCACCCGTGACTGACAACATCCTTCCACCTCATTTTGCTCTCACAATGTTTCTCTCATCACTCATCACACACCACAAATCTCAACGTCCAGTGACTCATCACACGATCCGAACAACAAAACTACTCAATAAACGGTACAATAATCACCAGACAGCCAACAGTCTCCCCGAAAATTATGTGACCCGACCAACTATTTGACGTTAACAGCATCGTGTATCAGGAGCGACAACTGTAAATGTGAAATATGAAATTAATTGCTCATAATCTGAAAAAAAACCGTGACGTGGCACCTGAAACTCACACTACACAAGCTTGGCGGATATTGATCACAGGACAGGGTTACAGCAACGTGATTTGGCCGTGTGTTATATCACAGCCTGTGGGGCAGTATATTTACCAAGTTATATAACAGTAATATAGTTCGTTTAATATAGGTATGTATTATATTACATACTGAGGGCACTTCCTATGTAAATTATCAAATTAGTTATTAACCATAGACCATTTCATAAAGGGATGTGTTGTATGATAATATTATCTTATATGTACTGGGATATGTAAGAAATATAAAGCATATAACTGAAGGGCTTACTCTACATGTACCATATATATATATATATATATATATATATATATATATATATATATATATATATATATATATATATATATATATATATATATATATATATATATATATATATATATATATATATATATATATATATATATATATATATATAACACCGAGAGAACATGTAGACACAGGGGGATGCTACTGCGTGGTTCATGAAAATCACAGAAAATCAAGTCTGAAATAGAGGTTAAATCACATTGAAAAATAAAAAATGCGTCAGTACCCCAAGATTCCGTAATTAACAATAATCACAGTGAGTTTTAGTAATATATCATTATTAATATTTATACAATTCTTTGTCAATAGTAGATATCACAGTAACTTTTAATTATTATTATTATTATTATTATTATTATTATTATTATTATTATTATTATTATTATTATTATTATTATTATTATTATTATTATTATTATTATTATTATTATTATTATTATTATTATTATTATTATTATTATTATTTACAACTGTTCAACACAAAAGTACATTAATTTATAGGTACTACTGTGAACATAACCATTGAGACTTTGACGGCTACACTATCTCCCCTCGTAATGTAATTTTAGACAAGAGAATAACTCAGATATTTTTTTAAATAAGCTGACTTGGGGTATTCTCACCGCACTTTAGTCTCAATAATTGTTGAAATAAGACTCCAAGCACATTATTTTACTATCAAGGGTAAAAACTTCCCAATACACCAACACAATCACTGAATTTTTTTTTTATCTCTTGAAAGAATTTTTTTTTCGACAAGTAGGAAATGACTTTAACGCCACGTCATAACACGGCGATGAAAAATAAAACGTAAATTTATTGACTTACGTTATTTTTACCGGCTCTAATATATAAAATTTATGTTAATTTTCTCCAAGTCGATAACTGATTAACATAGAAAGGTTTATTTACTTATCAATTGTATTTTACTGATTCTAATATGTCAACTCGGATGATTAGTAATAACAGGATGATAATTGATAAAAATAACTTTAATTCATTTTAGAAATATTAAATCTTTCGTCTATAATCAATTAAGGGAATCTTGTACACTCAAACCTTAAGACTTATTAAAGATGAAATAAAATCCAGGGGGCAGATCTTATGCAAATCTGACATCTGTTCTTCTAACCTGATTCTGAATATGTGAGTGACTGACGTGAACTAAACTTATATTTGACCTTTTTACTCTTCAAGAGATGTAAACAGAAAAAAGAATCTCTAGATGGTTGGTTCAAGTGTGAGGTAGGTAATTACCCTTGAGTGGCTACGTCTACACTACCACTCTACATCTACTCGGGGTGGGAGACTGGCACTTATACACAAAAACAAAGCGACAGTGGAAAGTAGAAATCTCAATTAACAAATAGATTTATTGAGGAAGAAACTCCACCTCAAAATCTGATAATTGGGAGTTTTTATTTTCCCGCGTCTATTGTTAGCGTTCTCAGCTCCTAGCATTACCATCTGTTGTTGGCTTCACCCGAGCCTGTCATGTCTAGGACGAACTGACTTACCAACAACTGGTGGTACTAGAAATGGTAACAGCGGAGGTAGAACACACACACACACACACTACACTAAGGTCCACGCCACTATAGGAGGCTTCACAGCTCGTCCACGCTAAACGCTCGTTCTAGCTCCACTTCGCCGACTAACAGTCAACAGTTATAAGAGTGGAAAACTTAGCCACAGTCAAGGGGTTGACAATAGAATCTGCAACAGTCAGGAATTAGGAATGTCAAATCAGGAATTAGGAATGAATACAGTCAGGGGATACAATTAGCAAGTCATGGGTCAGACTGGGCGACAGTTTGGATGTATAACTCAACCGTCAGGAAATAAAACTGACGACTGTTATGGCTTATAATTATCGACAGTCAGGAATTAAAACTGACGTTAATCAAAAGTTCAAATTGGTGACTGCTAAGGTTTAGAATTTGTTACGAATATAGCATAAATTTCGCGACAGTTAAGAGTTAGAACTGTTAACAGTCAGGAGTTGCAAGTGGTGACGGCCAATGATTAGAAATAGCGACAGTCCGGGGTGTGAATTAGTGACATTTAAAACTTAAAACTGCCACAGTCAGGAAATGAAACGTGTAGTAGTTAGGAATTAAAAATGTCGATTGTCAAGGGATGACAATTATTAAAGTTAGGGACTGAAAATGACGACAGTCAGAAGCGATAATTGGCGACATTCATTTGTAAAAATTGGCGACAGTTAGATAAATTGGCGACAGTCGGGAGACAAAATTGAAATGTGCGAGTCAGAAATTAGTTAGAATTGGCGACAGTTAGAAGTTAGTTAGAATTGGCGACAGTTAGAAGTTAGTTAGAATTGGCGACAGTCGGGAAATAAACTAGCGACAGTGAGGAGACGAAATCGACAACAGTTAGGGGTGAGAACTGGCGACAGTGAGCGCTGCAGGGAGGCCAGTACCGTGACTAGGAGTGACTGGCCAAAGTTTGCATGGACACCCCTGCTTTAAACACGGAGAATGACGCGTTTAACTCAATATGCATGGAAATATATATAAATATATACATATATGAGTGTGTTTAGTGTGTGTCAGAGAGAGAGAGAGAGAGAGAGAGAGAGAGAGAGAGAGAGAGAGAGAGAGAGAGAGAGAGAGAGAGAGAGAGTTCTGTGTTTTTGGTCACAGCAGAGGAAATTGCATATTTAATTTGTTTAAAGACCACAAAACACAAAGAAGAATCAGTGTGTTGAAAGGTCAGAACACAAGAGGCAGCTGCTCACAATTTACCGTCTTGTCAGATCACTGAAAGACGGTACATGAAGACAAATACCCCGTGTGTCATGAATGTGTCTTCAGGATCAAACCAAGAAAATAAATGAACAGCAGCAATGAATAATAAACAAACTTGGAAGACGAATATGTGTAAAAATATACTGTACAATAGAAGAAGAAAAAGAAAAAGAAGAAGAAGAATGCGCAGTATATATATATATATATATATATATATATATATATATATATATATATATATATATATATATATATATATATATATATATATATATATATATATATATATATATGCGGGAATGCATATATATGAGCTCACATGCAAAAGTGTGCGGTAAGTAAGTAAACATTTACGCATTGTGCTGCATCCATAAACATGAACAAGTACTTACTATTCGTCATCTAAGAGCAAATGGTCTTTATTCCGTCCGTCTATGACCTTAGTAAGTGCTCGGAAATAATTGGTCTTTATTGGAGAGAGAAAAAAAGGGGAGAGCTTCAGTGCACTTCATCCCAACCATCCAAGCACCTTTAACTGATCGAGTGTCCTTCTTGTAAACAAAAGACTTCAAGCATTGTAAATAAAAGACTTCTAGACTTGTAAACAAAAGAAAGACCTAAGACCCTCTGAAAAATATATACTTAAGCTAAATCTTCTACACAAAAGACCCCAGACTTTTCAAACAAAAGAAAAACCATGTTAAAAAAAAACTTAAATGTTGTAAACACACTACCTAAGACGTTGTAAACAAATTACCTAAGACCGTGTCAACAAAATAAAGATCTTAGACACCTGTAAATAAAGATATCAGACCTTGTAAACAAAAAAGGACTAATTTATAGAAATGAGATCTTATACGTCCCGTAAACAAACAAATCTCAAAACTTGTAAACACCGGCCATAAACTGTACAAAAAAGGTCTTTAGAGTTTAAACAAAAACCTTTCACTTGAAATTAATATAACCAAACTTCAGAATGTAAACAAAGAAATCCTGCAAACAACCTGAGATAAACAAATTGACCTTGGATCCAAGAGTCTTATACCTGGTAAACAAAAAGATCGTCGACCTTGTAAACATAGACCTTAGCCCACGTAAACAAAACTCTGGCTTTGTAAACACAGACATTAACCCCTGAAAACAGACCTTTACCCTTGAAAACAGACCCTAACCCTTAAAAATAGATCTTAACCCCGGAAAACTGACTTTAACCCTCACAGAGACCTTAGCCCTTGAAAACAGAGACCTTAGCCCTTGAAAACAGATCACAACCTTTAAAAATAGACCTTAACCTCGGAAAACTGACCTTAACCCTTGAAAACCGAGACCTTAGACCTTGAAGAGAACTTAGCCCTTAAAAACCTCAGACTTTGTGAACAAACAGAGACGCGAGACCAAGCGTTTAGCATGGAGGGTCTATTCTTTTTTGTTTTAGGAGTGGGGTAGTTCTGGGGGTGGGTGGGAGGGGCTTCTCTCTCTCTCTCTCTCTCAGACATAAACAAAAAGTTTCACCTGCTGGTCGAAGCGAACCTGGTTGCGTGGAGACAGGTGACCACCCGGTCTCACCTGTTGTTCAACTTGTTTCATATATAGGTTAAAGGTCCCCTCGATGTAGCAGTAAGTCTCCACGTAGTCCTTGCTGAGACCATCCTTCCCCTCCCCTTCACAGTGGATAGGACTCAAGATCTGTTTGGCCGAAGTGACGATGGAGCCGGCCAGCAGCAGGACTGGGGTGTACACTGTGATTAGGTTGAACACCAGCGATCGTGAGAACACAGTGGAACTACGCCGCGAGAAATGGTGCAGCGCAGAGAACTTGTGCCACATTCTGTAAGGAGAACAATAGGAGTTAGTCCGTGTTGTTGTGGTGACACACGCACACATGTTTACTTTATACAAGTGGGTTATTTTAAGGAGTAAAGGAGTATTATTGTTTTTATATTTTGGTGAATAAAAAGGGTTAAGAGGATAAAAAGCAATACTATATCGACTACTGACTCGAACCACTGCACCGAATAAAACCTAATTGAGAACTGAAATGCTCAGGGCTATATTATATAACCTCTTAAGGCTCTTTGAGTCATGAATCATTTAAAGAAGATCCTAAGTGATGGATATTGGACCATTAATCATCATATACTTGCCTCAGACAACAACATTAGCTAATAACTGATCAGAGCAATGAGTTCGAGTCACTGTCTTATATTCTGCATGATCCAACCTGTAGCGAACCCCGGAGCACAAGACGTGGCTTCATATACATAATTATATTATCTATAAGAAGAGTTGAGAGCAAACAGAGTTTATTAGATGTTGAAAATGTGAAAGAGCAGAACAAGACAACTTCATTCAACTTTAATAAGCTTAAAGTTACTAAAGATTCATAAAGATTATAACTTGCTTCACAACATAATTGTACAATGATAGATTAAAGACCCATAAATCTAACTATGCATAATCAGGTGATCGTCACGGTCGGAACAAGAGAGCAAATATTAAGAAAATTATTGAGAAAGAAAATTAAATACTTGATAAATGTACAATTCTACTACCAGGAAGCGGACTAGTAATAAAATATAAGGAAAAGTAGCATTAAACTCTAGCTTTATTTATTGATGTTTATATCTGTTTAATATCATGAGTTGAAAGAAAGGAACAAGCTGATGATGGTAAGGATGATAACAGGTGTAATAAGGTTGTTAAAATGATTTTATTAATAGTTTTAATATGGGATTCATTTATAAACTGAGAAATGTTTAGACACTACAGCATCAACCGGATTAATAATAATAAAAAAAAAATAATAATAAAAATGTAAACGTTCGGAAGGGCAGCAAAACTCATCTATTTACAAACTAATCCGAATCAAAATTTTGAGAAGAAAGTATAAAAAACAAACAAAAAACTAACTATTTTACCAAAGAAACGAATCCGAGTCGATCCAAGACAATCTAAAACTGTCTGAGACGCTCGACGTAAACACGACCCACAACGTAAGCCCTCCTCTTTCCTACTCCTGTTTTAGGCGGCATTTTCGTCACCTCCAGTGCTCTTCCCTCTCTTGACCTGACCTAACTAAACCTTGTTCCATCAGATGAGTTAATAATAAAACACCCAAATAAAGACTAAATGATAAAATAAACCATAACTACATATAAAACCTATTATCTTTCACTATACGAGGAAACCTTGTAATTTACCCAGGAAATTAAACTCTCATAAAAACCATCTGTTTGAACACATGAAACATTTGAAGGCCGCCCTCCATTAATAAACCCCACCACCTATAATTGTATGAAAAAGTTTGAGTTAATATTGTTTTTTTACTTTGTTAATGAATGTAAATGAGTTTGATTTAAGATTTTACGTGAGGTATATTAATATTTTTTTACAGCTTTGTGGTTTTATGATAATAGTGGCAGCGTTTTTTATAAGCAACAAAAAGTCATCCAAACATGATCTTGAGAGAGAGACCATAACGATAAAGGTCCTCCAACGGTTTTATTAGAGGCAGACGGAAGCCTATTTAGATAAAGCAAACACGGGAGTCATTTATAGGATAAGAAATCATGTTTAATGAATACAATATTAGCCACAATAGCCTAATTATCCTTATTATTAATATACACAAGCCAGGAGAAAAAGTCCAACAGTTTATGATGTTAACACAACTCAAAACAGAAAGTTAAACTCTGAAATTAATCGCAGTAATTTTCCGCTTGTTAAAAGATGTGACATTTTGTCCTAGTAATAGTGAGCTGTTTGTCTCCTTTGTTACACTGAGTGAAATTCCTCACTTTAAAAGTACCATTCTTAGAGACCAATGGGTCTTTTATTACGGGGTTCTTTTATTACTGGGTTTTTCCTGCACAACTCGCTCAGACAAACCAACACCTGACGACGTATCTTCGCGCTTTATTAAACATAGCATCAGTAAATAAATGAGGGAAATTCTCAATTATATTTTGTCAAGAAGCAAGATGTGGTTAAAAGGTGTCATCACTACCCTAGCAACCGATCCGGATGTGTGAAGTTCGCCGGTTGCTAGGGAGGGGAGGAGGGCAGACTTTAGTCGGTAAGTCAAATGTACGATAAAAAAGTTTTCGGCCCTCCAATATCACCGGTCGATTTACCTCAGTATTGTGACTTTTTTCTTTCGATTTCACTCAAAATTTCCACAGAAGAACTCCTTCAACACATTATTTAAGGACGCGGGCCCAAGCATTGTAATTTGGATAAACAGTTTTTTTAACAATACGTTAATTAGTTTATCTCATCCTCAACTACTTTCCGTCATTTCGGCTAACTCTTCTTGCCTCACACAACAAAAGTCTAATACAAAAATCTTATATATTAACTTAAAAAACCTCCGCATCTTTCTGTTACGTCACACAGCTCCATTTTCAATCCTATTGAGGTCAAATCACTTCAGTCTCTACCACACAGGATGGTGAGTCACCCAACAATGACCTTCACTGTCGCTCTCAATCCTTTCTGTCAACACGAACCTGCCCCTAGTTTATATATATATATATATATATATATATATATATATATATATATATATATATATATATATATATATATATATACTGAAGCCCGAGTACAGTACATGTCGCCACAGAAACACTACATAAACTTGATTGAGTTTTAATGTTGCAACATAACTTTTAACACAACAAAGTAAGAATCCCTAACGCATTGTAACACCTTCCAGACCTCCGTGAAGTTATCTGCTAGTGTCCACATTTGACTCCCAGACAATGTTTATATTTACTGTATGCAGTGTTGCCAGAAAGACGGACCCGCTGATGGGAGATACCTCGGCTACATATTATATTCAGTATCAGTGTAGGCGCGTCGTCACGGGCATGTTGCTTGCTATCTCCTCTTTCACCATAATTTACAAAGTGTATCTCTCATCTGTAAAACAATTTAATCCCGACACTACGAAACAGCGATACTAGGACAACTATTAGATGCAGTACCCAGGCTATGTCTATCATCCCTACAGATAATGTGCTATGACAGCCTCTGCGTTTACAAGTATATCAATTTACAAACGATTTACACCAAATTCACATCGATTTCCTGACAATTTAACGATGAGTGAAGTATTACCAGCACGGAGGAGGCTGTCGACGCCTGATTGACACGCGCGATGATGGGAAGTCGCAGGCGCTTCTGATTTGGCAACATCGTCAGGGCCTCGACCAGCGAGACCCAATAAACATCAATATACAGGAGGATGCGATACCCACACGCGCCCCCGGCCGATATTTCCTGGTGGCGTGGGCACTGGTGTGTGTGTGTGTGTGTGTGTGTGTGTGTTGACATTTGTGTTTGTGTGTGTGTGGGCAGAAGAGAGTAATGCTTATCAATTACTTAATAAATGGATGTTCAAAACTGTGAATTATTTGAAATGTGTGATTGTACAGTTAAGTAGACATGAACGAGCTCTATTTATATAATAATGAGCTTCAAAACATTAGGTTTTAAAGTACTTACACAAATATATTTTCTGATTATATCCTGCACATAAATTAACTGGTCATATATGAATGCAGCAATAGTGTTGTTCTTTAAAACCGCCAATAACTGATGATTAAAACTAGACACTTTAACTCTGGTACAAATTACCATCATTAATTATTTTACAAATTCATATAATGTGTTAGTTACAGATATAAGATTTTACTGATGACTGTGTAGAATAATTTTCCTATGTGAAGGACTCTCTCTCTCTCTCTCTCTCTCTCTCTCTCTCTCTCTCTCTCTCTCTCTCTCTCTCTCTCTCTCTTCGGCCTGTTTCCCTGGTGAGCGCTACACCCACACTGCTCTCTCTCTCTCTCTCCCACAACCCTCCTCCACCCGGGTCACTCCTCTCTATCCTTGTCATCCCTCCTCCACTCTCCTCTCCTCTTTCCACCTTGTCCAAAATAGTCAGGGAGACGTTTCTTAGTCATATTTTTTTAATTGTTGATATTTAGTGCATGAGTTAGCATAGGGAACCTGTATACGTGTACTTTTTATGTATATTGTTTGTATACCTGTACTGTCTATGTAAATTGTTTTTGTGTGAGTACATATATGATAATTTTGGTAATTTTTTAATAATGAGTTCTGGTAATATTTTGGTTAACAAGGTGAGTAAATATGAACAAAAAAGAAAAGCTTATGGTGTAAGTTTAAAGGAAAGCTTATGGTGTACGTTTAAAGGAAAGCTTATGGTGTAAGTTTAAAGGAAAGCTTATGGTGTAAGTTTAAAGGAAAGCTTATGGTGTAAGTTTAAAGGAAAGCTTATGGTGTAAGTTTAAAGGAAAGCTTATGGTGTAAGTTTAAAGGAAAGCTTATGGTGTAAGTTTAAAGGAAAGCTTATGGTGTAAGTTTAAAGGAAAGCTTATGGTGTAAGTTTAAAGGAAAGCTTATGGTGTAAGTTTAAAGGAAAGCTTATGGTGTAAGTTTAAAGGAAAGCTTATGGTGTAAGTTTAAAGGAAAGCTTATGGTGAAATTTTGCATAAGAAAAATAAGAACTAAGACCTAGATGCAATAAACCGTAATAAAAAGAAGCAGAGAAGAGGAAATACACAAGAAATATTAGGGGGAAAAGATGCATTAATATATAGAGAAATACGATAGACTGGTACACAGTGTTTATTTATACAAATGAATGTATTTCATAATAATAATCTAGATCTATAATTCGAAAATATAATTATATCTTCATGCGATTTTAGATTTCCGGGATGAAATAAATCTCATAGGTATAATTAGTTAAGTTTGCCATATTGAAAATACTAGGCGTCAACGATACGATTATAGGCGATTTTATAATGATACACTATATAACAAGACGAGTTATATATGCTAAGCATTAAATTTTATATATTAGGAGAGGAAGGTAATTTTGTACACGTATAATAAAGTATAATAAGGAGAGGTAATGACAGGAATTATATATTGAAAAAAATCTTTGAGTAAATAAATAAATAAAATAAGATGGATGAAGAACAATGGAGGATAATTAACTAGAGCAATTATTATAGAGCTTTGCATAGCACAGTATAATAACAAGTCGGAATATGACCTCAGCAATGGAAAATAAATTACATGAAACTATTATACTTGTGTAAAATAATAAAAACAATAACTTATAACTGAATGAAAAATGAACTTATCTAGAAAAAGGGTAAAAACCATATAATTTATAATAAAGTCTAATGAAATAGATACACTAAGGATTACAAATAAGTAATAAGGTAAAATAAGACTTAGCGATGGATGAGAACAAAAAGTGTACAATAGGGAACAATAAGATGAGAAATTTACATAAAAATACTTAAAAAAATTTGACAATGAATAAAAAAATGATAAACGACATAAAACACAAATGTAAGTTTTAAAACAGATTTATATGATGAAAAAAAAATACATATCGTAATTTACTATAAAAGTCAGTTAGAATCTCAAATACGTACGAAAATCAGAAAGGACAATGGGAGGAGGAAAATGTTGAGTGTCAATAAGTTAAATTTGGGAGGAAAATACGCAATAAGGAATAATATAACACAAGAGAAAGGAAAGTGTAAAATAAAACAGAGATAAAACTTGAAGATAATAAGATGAATAATGGGAGAGAAGGAAGGAAGGGATGAGGGGAAAGGGAGAGAAGAGGGAAAGTGATGTGGTATGGAAACACTAAAACAGAGGAAGAACAGAAAGCGTAAACCAAGGTCTAAAATGAGATACAATACGTGGTGATAAAATCAATAACGAGGAACGCGAGAGAGAGAGAGGAGACCGGGAGGAAAGGGGAGACATTGAAGGAGAGGGAAGACATGGGAGAGGAGGGGAATGTGAGAGGGGAGGGAGAGTGGTGAGGTATTTGTGGTCACAGACGCCGGCAGTGTTGGGTACGTCGCCTGACCTTCACCCCTGACCTACTTTTCCCTCCAAAAATCGAATCAATTTGTTCGCGGCGGTCCACAGCCCCTCTGCCAGGCTACATCAAAATAGGTCAAAGAGCCACTCTCTCTCTCTCTCTCTCTCTCTCTCTCTCTCTCTCTCTCTCTCTCTCTCTCTCTCTCTCTTTCTCTTTCTGCCTTTGTCATCCTCTCTCTGGCTCTCTGTCACTGTCCTTCGTTTACTGTCCCACCCAAATACACGAACAAAGCGATATGATCCCCTATATGCCAAGCTGAGGGAGTGGATCATATATATATATATATATATATATATATATATATATATATATATATATATATATATATATATATATATATATATATATATATTCTATTAAAGCTTTCTCTAACAGCAGACGTACAGAAGCGTTGCCTATCGCGACCGCCATCTATTAGTGTGACCCAGAACTATTTCTCTGGGTGTGAGCGCCATCTATGAGCCGGCAGCTGAACAACGGTCGTCAATGCCATCTGTGAATGTTAGTTGCTACCAGTTGTCAGGTACACTATTACCTCCAGCCTGTGCTACACACACACCCCCTGGTACGCGACAACCGTCTAAATGGTGTGTGGTATTTTCTTATGAAGTCCTGTTTTGTCATGGTAAATTGATATTTTTAATTATAAAACCAACAAAAATTGTGGTACAAAATTTAATATATGTTATTGATATATTTTGGCAACTACTGACCTACACTAACGAAAAACCTCCTCCTGACGATGTGGGTTATATTACAGCTTCCCTCTCCCTCTCTTCCTGTCGCTCTATTAACCCCCCTCCCCCCTCTCTCTCTCTCACGCCCGTCCCAGCAGGGTGGCCAGGCAGGCGTTGATCTCCTGATGCTTAACATTCAGCTGCCGGCCCGCCAGGGTTGTTCCACCACCAGCAAGCACACTCCAGTGTACTAATTTATTGTTGAGCCACACACACAGGCACACACAATATATATATATATATATATATATATATATATATATATATATATATATATATCACTCGTTCTCATTCACATGCATTATTGTGCAAGACGAAGGGATAACCATTGTTCACCATGTACCCAAACTGAAAACGACAGAGAGAGAGAGAGAGAGTCACATGACTTCTTAAATAAGGGTGTGGTATAAATGGTGTGGCGGTAGGGTGGTGTAGGTGTTAGTGTACATTAGTGGCATTGGTTTAAAGTATCTGTCACAGGGTCCAGAGGTCGGCTACTGCTACGTGGCCTCCAGCCTCCTCCAACAGCCACACCTTCGCCGCCATTTTATTACCTTAAAATTAACCATCCTTATACTACTACTGCAACAATAACAACTACTACTACTAATATAATCCTTGATTTAAAATACGTTAATCTTAACTCAAACAAAAAGAAAAAATTGACAGATAATTTTGAAATATTACCAACTTGAGTCTAGCTGTATATTGCCTTATGACCTTCTTACTTGGAAAAGACCAAAACTTAAGGGCGTTAATCACACTCCTCCATCACAATAAATCGACCTTCATAGTGAAAGTTTTCCCTGGGTAAGAAGGAACTTACTCCACATGCTTAGAGGTCGGATTCAGGAGAGATATAAAAGATGGAGGTAAAAATGGCGACGGGATTGCACTGAGACTCTACCTTTCAGTTAAGAGATACAAAATAATCATAGAAAACTTCTCAATGTATCAACAGACAGACCAGACGACGATTGGGTGATGAAAGTGGGTTAATCTCTCGGGATTTTCTACTCTAAGGACAAGGCGTTATTCTCAGTGAGTCCTCCTCCTTTAGGCTGTGGTAATAAAGTGATATAATCTCATTGTGACACAAATACATAATATTGTTGACATTTTAAGTTGACTCGAGAGAATAAAAGAGAGAAGGAGAACTTGAACTACTGTGAAAAAAGTACAAAAGTTTAGAGGTAGAAAAAAAAAAGACCCACCGTGAAAAAACAAAAGAAAAAGAAAAACATGATCCTATTAGAAAAACAAAACAAAAGCCGAGGAACCCAAATTGACGTTTAATTGCAGGGGAAAAAAAAAACCCCCACTCTGTAATGTACAAAATCCGATGTAATTACTAATAAAACATAAGTTGTTTAGTAAAATGCAATACACACTGTAGTAAATACAAGTTTAAGAGGGAAAAAATACAATACCCAGGAGAGAGGATGATTACAATAGCCAATATGGCCCATACAAAAATTAAGAGCAAGATTCAAGAGCCAATATGGCGACTTAAGAGCTTCAGTAATATAATACAATACCTAATGCAACAATAAATACGATATGAAGGGACAAAATACAATAACGAATGAGGCAAATATAAATACAGGGATAAAATACAATACCGGATGTAGCATTACAAGATGAATAAAAAATGCATTACCCATTACAGGAAAATACAAGATAAATAAAAAAAAAATACATCACCCACTGTAGCATAGGAAAAAGAAAAAATATAAGGATTAAGGGAAGGAAAGATGCATTATCTACTGTAGGAACTTGTGAATTAGATATAGGGATAGAGAGAGAGAGAGAGAGAGGGAGAAAGGGAGCAATTAAGAAAATCAAATACGTTACCCAAATGTGGCAAGAATTTGTTAAACCATTCGATGCTGATGTTGACCTTTTAGGGTTGACCTCTCCTGACCCCGCCAGGGACTTTAAATAAGTTAAGATGATATATTTCTCTATTATGTATTATTACTAAGCTGCTTCAGTCCTTGTGAGCTTTACTAATTAGTTGCTAAATACAAGATAATGTAAAGACTAAGTGGGTGGCTTTCAGTACAGTGGTCGTCAAATGAAAGTTATATTGACACTACTGGGAGAAAAATATGTTAACTTTTATATTTTGATAAAGGTAATAATTTGTAGAGATAATTCACTTGATATGAGTTTAAGTTATTAAGTGAAGTAATCAAGTATGGGAGTAAAATGTTGAGGTGTGTTTGGTGTTAGTTTCATGATGTCAAGTTTGTTAAGAGTCAGCCGTCAAATTAACCCGTCAAAGAAAACCAGTCGTTTATAACTTTGTAAAAGGTACAAGAAAAATCTAAACTTATTTACAAAGGCAACTCGTAAAGGCAATCGTGCAATTAATCAACTAGGAGGAAATAATTTGGAAAGAAAAAGATTCAATTATTTTATGAACAAACAATAAACCATTTAGTGAGAACAAACTGACATGGCACTGATGACAGCTGCTAGGAGTAATGGCTGACTACTTAGGTTATGACAGTCAATTAATGTATTCAGTTAAAACAGGTCGATTAAGTCAGTGTAGCGGGTGTGAGGTGCTGTCTGAGTGACCGTACTTCACAGCCATCAACCAGGGAGGAAGTAAACAAGGGAAGCATTCTACCAGGGGGGGCCACTAACCCCGTGTGTCAAGTACCCTGGCAAGAGTTGGGAGGTTTATTATCTGCAGAAGAAGGGACTGAAGAAGGGAGGAGGAGCTACTACGTACTGTCCCGCCTCACTGCCACAGTTGGACTGCAGAACGCTGAAGTAGACGTGGTACTGCCCGGAGACGAGCATGGGGAGACGTGGGAGGGCGGGGCCGAGCTGGCACCTCCGCCGGAAGGTTTGGCCCGTCTACCCTCACAACCTCCAGTCTTGGGCATTAGTGACACCCCCACCCCCACGGCACGGATCCCCTGCCCGCACCGCACCTCTCCCCTGGGGAATTCTATACCCGGTGGGGGACGTTGCGAGAGATGGGTCGATGTTCTGGTGTTACTACACGTCCTTGGGGAGAGACCAGAGCGAAGGGGTGTTCTTGGGAGCCTTAAAGACGAAGGGGACGTCCTTGAGAGAACATTAAGTGGAAGGGGACGCCCTTGGGGAAGATCAATGAAGAAGCCTAAGACCGAAGAGGATGTCTTGGGATATTCACTGCTGGAGGGGAAGTCCAGTGGGTGATGCAGGTCTGGTCGTTTGAGGCTTCGATACTCAAACAGTACATTAGAACTCAGAGAAACGGGGTTCTTATAATGTTCGGTCCATCGCGTTACTTGTCATAATGATAGTTTACATAAACCCCATTTTTTGCTGATCTTATGTTGATATTAGAGTCCAAAGAATCTGTGTTTGACGGCAACTTTTTAGCACACGAGTGAGACAGAGGCGTCCTCTTATGACTTTCAGTACTGACGTCTTTAACTTCGATTTCTAAATGTGTAATACGGCCCCCTGGGTGCACCTTGTCGATATTTAAGAACTTGAGAAGGAAGATCACTAATTTCTAGGGTTTCCGCTGCAGTAAGTCAGTATTTCTCTAATGGTATCTGATATAGAACACAAGTTTCTAGGGATTTTCCTAAGGATTATCAGTTTCTAGTTCATCTAGTTTGGGTTGTCTGTTTCTAGAGAGATGAGATTTCACCACCACTAAGACACACTAGTTACTACAACGTCTAGTACGGCAGGGCACCAGGCTCTAGGGGTCTACAGATAAAAGTCACTAATTTCTTTCACACACACCGCTGTACAACATCAGTTTCTAAGACCGTCTGTGATAAGATAAGCACTGGTTTCTAGCTCGTCTGTAAGAGAGAAAAAAACACTGGTTTCTAAAGATGAACGGCGAGGAGAAACACCGATGTTTTTCCAGGACGCAAGTTTCTAAGACGTCAATACACGGCACCACAACTTCCAATATTGTCTCTGAGGGAACTAAAGTACTTTGGTATTTTTTTTACTGGATGGGAGCGACTCGCACAGGGATTTCCGAGGAATTCATTGGCTGAGAGTATATAACACTGACAGTTTCGAGATTTTAATAGGCTGGAATGTTCGTGGATATTACTGATAGGGAGTACCACCCACAGAGAGTTTCGAGGATTCCTATTGGTCGAGAGCGGCTATCACACGGAGTTTTGAAGCGACGTAACAAGCTCTAACCACTGAACGACATCGTAACAATCAGTGAACAAGGGAGTGAGCTGTGTGGTCATCTTGGCAGTTCGCTACGTGCATTGTGTCAGTTGTCTGGAAGCGAAACAGGTTACAATATGTTAAACTACATCTTAGGTGAAGGATAATTACTAATAATTCACTCGTTAATATAAAAAAAGAGTGATTATAAAAAAATGAGAAATCGTCATAAGTGTAATTTAAACATCTGGCATGAAAAACCCATTACTTATGTAGTCGCTATGATAAAGAAAATGCTAATAATAATAACAATAACAATAATAATGCTAATAATAATAATAATAATAATAATAATAATAATAATACAGTAATAATAATAGTAAAAATAGTAATAATAATGACTGACAAGCGATAAATAACAGTATTATGCAATGGGTCACATAATTTCGCACTATGAACTTTGACCCAGATTGACCTGCCCAAGGTTATATCATAAACACAGACGGACGGACGGACAAACTAACAAAGCGACTGCTATTTATACCCGTTTCCTACGTGGCGGAGGGGGTAACACAACGCTTGGACAATATTACAAAATAAAGATAAAGATTATTATATTTTTTATGATAATTAGCGAAATAATTACGAGTTAATTATCAATTATTATCTAAGAATCAAGTAATTATACCCGAGGGTTTAAGTAAGATAATTAGGTAGTTATCGTAATCAAAGGGTTAAGTAATATTAATTAAATACAACACCACAACTCTCCTCTCTCTGACAACACCCTACACTCTCTCCTTCCTACCTCCCCCTACCTTCTACACCTCCCCCTACCTTCTACAACATCCCCTATTCTCCCCCCTACTCCCTACAACGCCTCCCCCTACCTTCTACAACATCCCCTACTCCCTACAACGCCTACATCTCTATCATTAGCAGCTCACGGTAAATGTAAACACAATATTTATTTAGTTCACCTGACTCTTGAACCATATGAAACAAATAAAATGTTTTTGTTTTAGTTGTTGTTGTAGGGAGAGGTGATAGACGAGGTGAGTTAAATGACATACAGCTTTGTGGACTGTTTTCAGCAGCTGTTTCTATTATGAATATGATGAAGAGTTAATGTATGTGTGTGTGTGTGTGTGTGTGTGTGTGTGTTTGTATTGACCGGCTTGATCTATATAACCTACACGACCTACATTACCTACATGACCTACACGACCTACATTACCTACATGACCTACACGACCTACATTACCTAACAATATCATTACTATAATAATAAGTACTGTACCTGACGGACCTACAGGTAAATCCCTTAATACCTGGACATACACCTGGCCTAATTAATTAACTCCAGGTAAAGGAGAGAAGCCTCTAAAACGCTTTGGCTCTTCTTTATATCAACGCTGGTAAATGGAACTACCTTTGTGAACATTTAAATTGACGTTTGTGTTATCTCTACCGTAATTACATACAACAATTATCACATATTTGTAGGTTTTTGATACAGAAAATTATGTAATGTTTGTAGGAATAGTTTTTTTTGAAATGTTTAAGTTTTATTTGTTATATTTAATACGAAGCTCCGACAATGGTTGGGTTGACGGGTGATGCTGATTGTCTAGCTGAACGTTTATTGGCTGAATGCTGACAAGTGGCGCTGTAAATGATTGGCTGAATGATATAGCCTGCAATTCAAGTGACGTAATCAAAGGTCTGTGATTACGGGCACTGATTGGCTGGATCTTCAACATAATTCGGGAAGGATGTCAACAGGGTTTCCCCGACCGCGAACTCGAAGACTGATTGGCTGTTGTGTTCTTGCCCGAGTGACGTAAGCATGAATCACGAGATCCTCAACGCTGATTGGCTTGGTGTTTCCTTGACGCCAGATTGACATTAACAAAGCTCTGTGATTATGTACCCTGATTGCTTGAGTGTTCCTGGGGAGTCAGAGTGACGTAAACAAAGCTTTCAGACCGTGAACCCTGATTGGCTAGTAGCTGACTAAATGCCCGGGTGACGTCAATAAATTTAGGGAGTGTGTTCGCTGATTGGTTGTCTTACTCGCGCGCGAAAACACATATACAAAGCCGCCATTGGCTGAGGCAACGTTAGATCAGCATTAATCCTCGGCTTGTTGAAGAGACGGCCGCAACACTTCCGCAATCGCGAAGAGCCTCAGCTCGATGAAGATTGGCTATATTAGGCGTCCAATCACTAGCCAACTAAATTTACATTCGTAATGAAGATGTTGAGGGGATCTGGTAACGTGTACTTGCGCGCGTCGCTGATTGGTTTACAGTGTATCCACTCTTATCTGTGATTGGTTGACGTTATGTAAATAGCCAGTTCAATGCGTTAGTAGTTAAGAATATAAGTAATTATAGAACTAATTAAATAGCTTATTGGTATATAAGTACGCAGATAAGTAATTAAGTAGGTTGGTAAGTATATTGATTATTTTATACTTTGAAAGTTAAGTAAATACTAATTGGCATATAATAAGTACTGTATATAAAGTATAAGTAGATATTTAAGTAAGTAAAAATATATGAAAGTAAATATATAAATCAAAGTGATAAGTAAAATATTTATAGAATTAAATAATCAAAATATAGGTTTAAGTATAGTCAGTTACGTGAATAACTAACTAAGTTTTATAAGTAAATACGATAAATTAAGTTAGAAAGAGTATTTAACAAAAGAAGACAAAAGTCCACCTTGGCTCCTACTTTACGATATATAAGTTAGTTAATAAGTATTCTCTACTTATAATTAAGGTATGTGGTATCAAAGTATGTATGTATGTATGTATGTATGTATGTATGTATGTGTGTAGGCTATGTATGTGTTAATATTCAATGATGTGTACATATACATTGCATGTATGAATGTTAATATGTGTATTGCAATGTAAACACCCACACACACACACACACACAGTCCCTACCCCTCCCCCCACCTCTGAGTTGGCAACCCACAAATTATATAATTGGGGGGGGGGGGTCTTTATTCGTCGGGGTGATAGTAAGGTCTTTTTATTAAGTGTGGGGGCTGGAGAAGTTATAAGGCAGGGTCTTTGTTAAATGTAGGGGCTGGAGGGGGTCTTTATTAGGTGGGGCTGGAGGAGTCTTATAAGCGCGAGGGTCTTTATTAAGTGTAGGGGCTGGAGGTCTTATAAACATGAGATGGCTGGTATTAAGTGTAGGGGCTGGGGTCTTATAAACATGGGGTCTTTGTTAAGTGTAGGGGCTGGAGGGTCTTATAAGCGCGGGGGTCTTTGTAAGTGTGGGGGAGCTGGAGAAGTCTTATAAGCGCGGGGGTCTTTGTTAAGTAAGTTTTAATAGCCTCACTAACGACGTCTGGAATATCACGCCGACTGAATTCCAGGATTCCAGTAGTGGGAATGGAGAGGTGGGGGTGAGAGAGATTCCAGATTTATTAAAGGGCGGGGGGAGGAAGGGGTAGGGAGGGGATCAAGGGGGTGGTTTTTTCCAAGTGCTGTGATTTTTTTTTCTCTTTTATTTACTTCATTTATTCTCTCCCTGTTATTCTAGTCTTTTTAATCTCCTCTTCTTCTCTCCTTCATTATACTATATCTCTCACTTTCTATCTGGCTTATTCCATTCACTACCTTTTTTTTCTGCCAATTTTCATTTATTCTCTCTCTCTCTCTCTCCCTCTAATTTCTTTATCTCTCTCCCTCTAATTTCTTTCTCTCTTTCTCTCTGTCTCTTCTTCTTTTCCTTGCTTTCACTTCCTACCATCTTTCTTACTCCTACTACTTATTCGTTCTGTCTCCCTCTTTTTTTATATTTTACTCTCTTCCTCTTCCTTCTCTCTACCCCTTCCTAATCCCCGTTCTTTTCCTCGTCCCATCATCCCCTTCTCTCTCTCTCTCCCTCCCCCTATTTCTTCCTCTTCCTTCCTCCCTCACCTTCATCTTTCCCACCTTATCATAATTTTTTTACTCCCTCACTTCAAACTTAGTCTCCTTCCTTCCTTCCTTCCTTCCTTCCTTCCTTCCTTCCTTCCTCTTCCCTGCCTCCCTCCTCCCCACTTTATCACAATCTCTCACTTCTCTCACTTCAAACTTCGGCTTCCTACTTCCGGTCAAAACCATCACAACTCTCATGACTTTTTTCCAAATATTTTCGTCATTTTTTTTTACATTAAGTTGATTCCATGTCATAAATTTTCTCTCTCGTGTGTGTGTGTGTGTGTGTGTGTGTGTGTGTGTGTGTGTGGTGTGTGTGTGTAGGTGTGTTTGACGTAATGTGTGTGTGTGTGTGTGTGTTGATTTACAAAGGATACTCAACTCAATATATTGGATAATCTCTCTCTCTCTCTCTCTCTCTCTCTCTCTCTCTCTCTCTCTCTCTCTCTCTCTCTCTCTCTCTCTCTCTCTCTCTCTCTCTCTTTTCTCTTTTTATTTTAACAACATTTCTTTCTCGATATAAAAATGATAACAAAAAACCCAAGAAAGATGAAAAATAATAAGAAAACAAGAAGAAAAAGGAGAGAAATGAATAATAGAAAGAAGAAATATATGAAAATAACAAGAAAAACAAAAGAACAAAACACTAAGACAAAAGAAATAAGAAACACAACAAAGACAAGAGAAAAAAAAAGAAAAAAAAATAGAATTAAGACGGAAATGAAAAAAAAAATGAGACGAAAGAACATAAACAAGAAACAAAATAAAGACAGGAAGAAAGAAATAAAGAAAGAAATGAGACGAATGAAGAAAGAAAATAAGAAATAGATTTATAATTTTAGATCTGGCATACTTTCTGCAGCTCTCAGTGAGGAGCTTGAGAAAATCCCTCTGGTGATGTGAGGGTCATGGGGGGTGAGTGGGGGGTGAGTGGGGGGTGAGGGGAGGAGTGGGAGAATTGAGGAAGAGGAAGATGGAGCGAGGGGAGGGAGAGGGAGTGGGAGAGATAGGAATAAAGGGGTGAGGGAGGATTATGAGGATGGGGGAAGGGGGAGGGTGAGGGAAGGGAGGTGAGGGAGGAGTAAGAGGGTAGGAGGTGAGGGAGGTGAGGGAGGGGGTGAGGGAGGTTAGTGAAGGGGAGGGGAGTGAAGGGGAGGGGAGTGAA